CCCCAGCCCCTCCCCAGCTGTCTTCGCTTCGTCCAGACCAACATCTCCCACCTCCTGCAGGACACCTCCGAGCAGCTGAGGGCGCTAAAGCCTCGGATCACCGGACAGAATTTCTCTCAGTGCCTGGAGCTGGAGTGTCAGCCCGGTAAAGGCTCCCAGCCCACCCCCGCCCCAACCCTGTACCCTCTGGTCCTTACAGCCCGGACCCCTTCTGCTCAGTGTGTCCCAGAGCCTACCCCACTCCTATTGGCTGGGCAAAGGGAAGTTCCTCAGTTTACCAGGGGAAGTTCCTCAGCTTACCCATCTCTAAGAAGGGAACAATAATTCCTGCCTGTTTCTCTAAAATAGCCCTGTTGAACAGAAATACAATGTGTGGCCGGGTGCGTTGGCTCACGTCTGTAATTCACTTTGGGAGGCCGAGGCAGAAGGATCACTTGAACCCAGGAATTCAAGACCAGCCTAGGGAACACAGGGAGACCTCAACTCTACAAAACATTAACTGGGTGTGATAGCATGAGCCTGTAGTCCCAGTTACTCGAGAGGCTGAGGCAGAAGGATCGCCAGAGACCAGGCAGTCCAGGCTGCGGTGAGGCGTGATCATGTCACTGCACCCCAGCCTGGGCAACAGAAAGAGACCCTGACCAAAACAAAAAACTACAATGTGGGCCACATGCTTAAGTATAAATTTCCTAGTAGCCACATTAGAAAAATTTAAAAAAAAAACAACGGATGCCAACTCGGTCAACATAGTGAGACCTTGTCTCTACAAAAACTAAAAAAGCCAGGCACAGTGGCTCACGCCTGTAATTCCAGCACTTTGGGAAGTGGAGGCAAGAAGATTGTGTGAGCCCACAGGTTTGAGGCCAGCCTGGGCAACATGGCGAGACCTTTCTCTACAATAAATCAAAAAATCAGCTGGATATGGTGGCACACACCTGTGGTTCCAGCTACCTGGAAGGCTGAGGCAGAAGGATCGCCTGAGCCCAGCAGGTCAAGGCTATGGTGGTCATGAGTGCTACTGCACTCCAGCCTGGGGGTCAGAGTGAAACTCCGACTCAAAAAAGAAAAAAAAACAGCCAGGCTTGGTGGCTCAGCCTGTAATCCCATGCTTTGGGAGGCCAAGGTGAGTGAATTGCCTGAGCCCGCGGGTTCGAGACCCGTCTGGGCAACTTGGCGAGACCTCATCTCTACAATAAATCAAAAAATTAGCCGGGCGTGGTAATGCGCGCCTGTAGCTCCAGCTACTTGGAA